ACTATTCTATCTTTATTCGTTGATTAAGTATCTTATAAGCTGGTAGAATAGTCTTACTTAGTAACAGTACTTTCACATCACTCAGTAATCTTACAGTAATATCACTAACACTAGTACAAGTACTTTTACTGTGTTCTCAATACACTACAGAAGTAAACACCGAATATAATGCTTTAAGCACCGAATATAAGAAAGTAAACACCGAATATAATAAAGTAAGCACCGAATATATATATATATCTTATTAGGCGTTTTGTTGTGTAGTATCGCTGAGTATTTTTACGAGTTGTGTCGTATTTTGACGAGCCCGTAGGGCGAGTCAAAATACAAATAACGAGCGAATTTTTCGGCTGGAAAACAAAGCCAACTTTCTTCAAACTTGTCGCGTAGCTGATTCTCATCGATGTTTGTAGTTCGTCTAGGTTTAGCTGCAAATTATTTCTCTTCTTGAGGAGACCATGACACTGCCTACAAATATACTTGGATAAAGCGTGCACATGGAAATCCAAATTTGCGAGCGCGACGTTTACATCGAAGACTGTCTTCTTCTTGCTCTGGACCAGAAATCACTCGTACTCCCCTCTACTAGCTATGTTTTCAATTTCTTTAAAACACAATGTACACTTGAAAAGGGTCATTGACTTCCAAATAAACTCGAAATAATTAGATAATTACGAGGTCTTTGTCTGCGCAAGGACACGTGTGCAGCGTTTCTTTCGCAGAAAATATAATATATTTACATAACTTGCATAACTTTCTGTGACGTCACAGAACACGATTTGTGCCAGCCTTTCGTAGACGTTTCCTCCCCGTTTTTCTTAGGGGGTGGGTACGGCTACACGTAGGCTGGGATGATCTTTGTTTCCAAGGTTTTCTCCCGCTTACATCTGATAACAAATCTCTGAAGTTTTCTGCCTCGGAACGATCAGCTAATAAACTTCAAGAGTTGCCGTGGTTGTTGTTTTTCATCAGTACGTTAACATTTAAAGCAACTAACAGTATTAAGGTTGTGCTTTAAATAAATATTTTTAACTTCACACAAGTTCTTAACAAGTCACCTGCTTGTACAATGATTAGTACTTGGCGGTTCACTTGGATAGCAAATTCAACCTGAGTTCACCTAAGCTTCATTCAAGTTCTCTATGCATTCTTGGCAGGTATCTTTGAGTTCGCTAAACGGCCTATTCCGAAAACGGTGCTCAACATCTTTTAGTGTGGGTCTAACGCGAATTGCGTGTGCATCTGTAAGCATTTTGAGCACCTAAGTTGGACAAAAACGATCCAGACTACTCTCAACATGACCCTTGACTGCGTTGCACTACCCGGCACTTCAAGCCTGAATACACGCGATGCCAAAACTCAACCTCGTTCTCGGCACATGTCCGCCACATTGTTTTGCGGCAATTAAAAGCTGCAACGTAGCGCCTATTGTGCATTTTCCTGCTCAGGAAAAACTAAACAGAGTTTAAAATCGTGGCCCTTTACGGCCAGAATAGCAAGAAAGTGCATCTAAAGTTTTACGGCAACACTATGCAGAAGAGAGTGCATTTGGTGTGGAAAATTAGTTTAGCCTGATCGTGATTCGCGTGCTTTGCTTCTGCACGATATGAAAAGCTGCTTAAATATTTTTTCGCGGAATGCAATTTTCACGCCCTAAAGCCACGTGCAATTATGTTGGTCTTTGAAAAAACAAACTGCACGCGCTTTTTTATTCCAAATTACACTCGAAAATCACGTGATCATGAGATGTGTGCAAAATTCCAAGTGTTGTTGTACTGCTCTGTGGCTCATCTCTCCGGAGGGAGAACGTGGGAAAGGCTAACATTCTAATGAGTTAGGGCTTGTAGCTGCTTAAAGAGCTGACCACTCCAACACCAAGAACGGCATTGTTGTCTAAGTAAAGATTCCAACGGTTTATTTTGCTGTTTTTTTGAAGATTATGGACAAAACATTTGCTGAACCTGTGCAAGCTGAAGATGTGACTGTGAAAAATGAAAAGGTCAGTGGAAGGGGAGGTACCATTTAATTCATAAAATTTTGAAAAAGTGAGCTGGCAAAAAATGCCACGTGAGTCGGATTCCGCTGCTTTATTTTTTGACAAGTGCTTACAGGAGTCATTCGCTTGTAGGCAGTAGCTCTTGTCCGCTAATTTAGAGCCTGGAACAGGTTGGACATATCACTGATTGAATGGGCTTGTGCCATTATGGCTGTCTACGTAATTACCATTCCGGTAGCAAATCGGCTCTTTTGGTCCGAGTAGGATTTATGATTTGATTTATGATTTATAAGCCGATTCGCCGACAGGCAGGGACACCGCAACAGCTTGCGCCAATCACTGCGGGCCCAGTAAACCCACCCATCCCACCCAGGGGAGGACATCCATCACACAGTGATCTCGTGTGTGGGAAATTAACGGTTTATTTTGTGTTTGTGCAGACTTTTTCAACAGAGAAGTTCGTGAGGGTTAGGAAATCAGCGAAATCAGATGTGAATTCGGGAGGAAAACTAATACAACGTTTAACGAACATAGAATAGAAAAGAGGTTGATAGTTTCGAAAGAAACTGTTTGGGGCTGCGTCGGTGGGGGTAACGAAATAATTTGGATATATCAACAAAGTTGAAATGGTAAATTGGCCAGCGTAACGATTATAAAAGCTGACGTTTCGAGCGTTAGCCCTTCGTCGGAGCGAATAGAGGAATTGTGGGTTGTGTGTGCTTTTAAAGGCAGAAAATGGAGCTACGTTATTGGTGGGAAGATGGCAACGAGAAAAACAAGAATAAATTAGTGGAATGAAAAGCGTTCGTTGATCCCTGTGGGATTTAGACTGCCGGTTTGAAAGATGAGCTTTTGTTCAAGATTCTTACGGCTTTCCGTGCTATCTAAGTGTAAGGACTCACACTTACACTTACACTTAGGTAGCACGGAAAGCCGTAAGAATCTTGAACAAAAGCTCATCTTTCAAACCGGCAGTCTAAATCCCACAGGGATCAACGAACGCTTTTCATTCCACTAATTTATTCTTGTTTTTCTCGTTGCCATCTTCCCACCAATAACGTAGCTCCATTTTCTGCCTTTAAAAGCACACACAACCCACAATTCCTCTATTCGCTCCGACGAAGGGCTAACGCTCGAAACGTCAGCTTTTGTAAGCGTTACGGTGGCCAATTTACCATTTCAACTTTGTTGATATATCCAAATTATATAGAATAGAAAAGACTCGGCAAACGCGTGCATCTCTACCTCAGCAGCAACATTGGTTGTTATTTTCAATAAACAGGAAAGCGCATCTAAAGATTTACGGCAACACAATGCAGAAAAGAGTTCATTCGCTGCAGAAAAGTTAGTTAGGTCGTGATTCGTTTGCTTTGAGTCTGCATGATATGAAAAGCTGCTTTAATATTTTTATCGAACTGCACGCGCTTTTTTATTCCAAATTGCCCTCGAAATCACGTGATCGTGAAGTCTGTGCAAAATGCCAAGTGTTGATCCTTCGCTGTGTGGCTCATTCCTTCTGAGCGGGAGCCTGGGAAGGGCTAATATGCTAACGAGCTAGGACTTGTAGCTGCCTAAAGAGCTAACCACTTTAGCACCAAGACCGGCTATTGTAGTCTAGGTGAAGAACGCAACAGTTCATTTTTCCTTCTTTTTTTATAGATTACAGATGATACATCTGACAAAGAATTTGTTTTCGTCCTTGATGACACGGAGGTATACACGGAGGTATACGATAGGTGGATGGGGGTAGAAAGAAGATACAAGTTTTATTCTTAAAACTGGAATGAGCGAGCTGACAAAAAATGGCACATGGGTTGAATTCTGCTGCCATATTTCTTGACAAGTGCTTATAGTAATCATCTGCTTGAAGTCGGTAGCTTTTGTCCGCTGACTTTTTGCCTGGAACAGGCTGAACATGTTACTGGTGTAAATGGCTTGTGGTTGTATACGGGACGTATCATTCCGGTAGAAAATTGGCTTTTTCGGTCCACGTAGAGATGTTAATTAATAGTTTATTTTGTGTTTTGGCAGACTTTTTGCAAGAAATTCGTGAGGATTAAGAAATCAGCGAAATCCATAATAAAGTTAACACTAATATAACGTTTAAGGAACATAGAGTAGAAAAGACTCGGCATACGTGCATTTCAACCTCAAGAGCTAACCCATTCCAGCGCCAAGACCGGCTATCGTACGTAGTCTAAGTAAAGATCGCAACAGTTCATTTTGCTTTTTTTATTTTAATATAGAATAAGTCAACTTTACGTACCGACCGTGTAAATTGAACTTTAATCGTCTTTAAACAACTTTAAACACTAGGGTAAAGTTGGTCATACAACTTTAAGCAAATTTACGCCACATTTACGTTTTCGTAAAGCTGCATTTTTGTATATTTGTAGCATTAAGTTCTTATTAAGTGTTTTTCTCTAAAATGTACTTCACCAAACTTTGAATGGAATAAACATTTGGAATTTTACAGTACCAATTTGGGTCCTGTGTTTTGTGTTATCAAGGGATTTATCTGTGCTGTACAAATCCACACAAAAAAAAAAAAAAGGAACCCTACTGAGCACAGATAAATCCCTTGATAACACAAAACACAGGACCCAAATTGGTACTGTAAAATTCCAAATGTTTATTCCATTCAAAGTTTGGTGAAGTACATTTTAGAGAAAAACACTTAATAAGAACTTAATGATACAAATATACAAAAATGCAGCTTTACGAAAACGTAAATATGGCGTAAATTTGCTTAAAGTTGTAGGACCAACTTTACCCTATTATTTAATAGAGTTCCTTCTTTTTTTTATTATTATTATTTTTTTATTTGAGGATTTGTACTAAGTACAGGAGCAGAAACAATAGGACATAGGTCCCCTACGAGGTTTAAGCTCCAATAAACCCACCCATCCCACCCCAGGGGAGGACATCCACCACACAGTAATCTCGTGCGTGGGAAATTAACGTCTCCTACCCCTAACCCTGCAGGAGACGGGACCTCCATTTATTCGTCCCTATCTGAGAAGACTAGAATATCTAACCATTTCTTGATGTTATAGAAAGGTAGCATATTCTTCTCAATTATTTTAAGACCTTGAGTGTTGGTCCGGCCGGGGCTCGAACCCTCGACCTCCCGCACAACAGTCCAGCGCTCTATCCATTGAGCTAACCGGGAGGTGGTTAAAAACCGGGAGGCGGTTAAAAACCGGGAGGCGGTTAAAAACCGGTTAAAAACCAGCAGGCAGTTTCTTACTGAGAAGTGTCCAGAATATTTAGAAGTATTTTTAGGGCCACTAGTTACTCAGTTGAAGCACTGTCCCGTGTTACCCTCGTAAAATAGAGTTGATTGATTAAAATTTCAGGTTTTTATTTAACTTCCCTGGCTGGTTTTTACAGGTAAGATCATTCCTATCAAAGCAAAAGGGAACGATAAAAAGGTTGTAGAACCAGCGACAAAACATAATCTGAGAAATAGGCAAATTTATTTATTTGCTCAGCTTCGCCTAACTAGAATACAATCCGGATATTATGTTTACTAATAACAAAGTCCCAGTTCAGACCATATTTTTAAAAATGAAAACTGTTGCAAGCTTTTAACCCAAACTAGGCTTAGACTGTTTTGGTGATGTTTCATCATCGTGCTCGCACAAATAATTATTTGTGCTTAACTTTTAAAACTCCTACATCTCAAGGAATTATGTCATTTTATACGCTCGATCCATTTGGGCTAAACAATAAACAACTTTACGTTTCATTTACACTAGGTGTAAATAACCGTTAAGTCGACCAACAAACTATACGCAAGGTTTATACTGGCTTTACGCTACTTTCGCGTAAGGCTTACTTTACTTACCCTTACGTAGTACGTAAAATATAAAGTTAACGTAAAGCTTCGTACAAAACTTTACGCAGATTTACGCAACATCTAACCCTTCGTAAATCTTAATTTTCATGCTGTGATTGTACCATTCCGGTAGCAAACCGGCTCTTTTGGTCCATATAGAGATGTTAACAGTTTATTTTGTGCTCTGGCAGCTTTGTTGTATGATGGAAGCACGTGAGGAAGCACGTGAGGATTACGAGGTCGCAAAAGTAGAGGAATGGTGCACCTTCGTAAACGACACCAAGTATACAGTGATGATAACTGATAAGGATGGAACACGACCCTTGAAACCTGGAAAATCAACAATAAACCTCGACATCCCTGGCTTTGAGCTGATTCTTGTCCTGAAGCTACCGAAGAAAGACGCGAAGATCGTATTTCCCTCGAGTGGATTTAATAACTCCAGGCAGAAAATTAGTCAGATCTTTGCAAATGAAATCAATCAGAATTAACTCAAGCAGTGGTGAACTGTGGTCAGTGCGTGTCAAAGAAATATTTCCATGACTTCTTCTACTTACGAATCAGTAGAAGACGAGTTTCTCTATCTTGATTTATTAACCTTAAATGGTAAATAATGCTGGAATGGAACAATCTCTTAGTTAATTCAAGAACGAACTTTTCCAAACTAGTTGAGGAGACGCTCTATAATTATAAGACTTGGTTTTTATGCATCCATGCGGATGTGTGTGTGCTTTTCTTTTTTTAAACAATTTGCCTAACTTGAAAGAAAACAAATTAGATATTGATTGTAATTCCAGATTGTGTATCATGTATGCGAATTAGTTTACCAAAAACAGAGTGATCGTTTCTTGCTTTGGCAATGCGTTTTCAAAGTTGTCTTTTAATTTGATGAGTGCTTGTCAACTTACGACTCATTTAATATAAATAGGTCACCATTGGCTTTCAACTGTCCAACTGTTATGTACCGGGTTAGATATTGCACTTAAGATTCACTGAGTGTTGGTCTACAGAGTTTTAATTTCTAATCTCGTTGAGTTTCGMTTTTCCATTTCTCGAGTCGGCACATTTGCGAAACTACCGTCGCAATGTTCTTTTAAGCTATTGACCTCTAAGAGTGACCAGCATCTAGTTTCTCCTTGCAACATCACCTCTGAATCACGCATTAAGGTCAGGAGAATGAAGGAAATGATCACCAACTGAAGAACCTCTTGATATTTAAACAAATTCTCCTTGTCAGCATCTTAGCAGTGTAAGAGAATTAGAAACGGCGTGGAGTGATATCAGGCTGTTAGGAGTCAAGCTATGGAACTTAGTTTACAGCCAGATCTCAGACAAATAGGATTCATCAGCAGTTGCAATTACTCGAGTTTTCCGTTTTTATTTCAACCCTGCGATCAGTGCGAGCTTTTAAGACCAGGCATAGCTAAAGTCGTTTCGTGTGGTCTCAGGTTCAACACAAGAGCACGTTGACGCTTAGTTGCTAGCAGCGGACGCGAAAACGCTTCTAAAGCTTTCACTGCATTATCTTGCTCCTTCCCAAAGTATTAACTCTGGAGATACATCTATATCTGAATTGTGCTGTTAATCCATAAAAACGATAACAAACGAATTGTGTCTGTTAATCGGCACCAGGCCCCGGTTGTTCGAGGGGTAGATAACGCTATTCACTGGAAAATCTCTATCCGGTGAATACGGTAGTAGGTGTTATATATAGTAGGTGTTATAAGCACTTAACCCACCCCATTAATTTTGGTGCGATTTTATTGGTTACTTTACGCCACGTGATGCAAAATCACAGGACAGTTATCACGCAATGACCCCCGTCCGCGTCGATATTTGTCCTCCGATTTTTTCCGTGAAAAAGAAACATAGTCAACACAAGAGTTTTAACTTTTCTGTTCTCCTATTTACATGGAAGGAAACCAAACTGGTTGTTTTTTTGCTTGCTTGCGTCAATCACGCGCATTCGCCATCAGATCACCACTGGCTTTTTTACTGTGTTTACGCGCAGTTTAATTGCGATGTGAAAATTAATGGGAGGGTTATAAAAATAATAAACCCAGTTCTGGCTTGCTGATATGTCGGCTGGTAATGTCCTTGGCTGAGAGATTCTCCTCAAAATTTCATATTTGCCCTCGAAGCTTCGCTTCTCGGCCAAATATTAATTTTTCGGACAATCTCTCAGCCGCGGACATTATCAGCCGACATACCAGCCGCCCGTAGGGGTTTATTTACTAAATATTCGCTGGATAACGATTTATCCGATCGATAGCGTTATCCGTCCCGGCCTTTGAACAACTCCGCCCAGGACCTTTCTGACGAGGAAAAAAAGTGCATCAATAAATAACTTCAATTCACTGATGTACCACGGAATAAACAAGCAACTAAATCAGACATCGATTTCCTTTAATTGCCTTTCACGTCACTTAACTGAACATACGCGACCTTCCACGGCGATTGATTTCACTATTAATCAATTAGAGGATTTAAGTTTGTTTTCACGGACTATATTGCTCATGTGGTGAAAGAATCAAATCAACTAAAATCGGTTTGAGTTAAACAACGACCAAACAATTTAAAGAAGTCTCGTGTTATGATGACTCGAGCTTTTCTTTATGATGAACTAACGCCAAGTTTCAGTCTTTGACAAACGTCTGGGTATAATCATAGAGAAAATGGCAAGAGTGTTATAATTATAGAGCTATTTGGAAACAACACAGCGGTTAAACGTAGGGGAACGTAGATCATGCGCCAAGGGATCAATTTCGGCCGCCTGCACGGCAATTTTACCGCGCAAAATTTCAAAAGGCGATAAGAAACAATAGGGACTTTAAGCAAACCACGACGGCTACGGCAACGAAAACGTGGAAAAACAACAGATCTAATAGGCAGAACAATAGCCCAGCACGTGCGTTTTAAAACTTTGTACACTTCTCAGCCGTCCTTCGCAAAACAACAACGTGAAATCACCAAAATATGCGTCGTCTGCGAAGCGAAACCGCGGCGGCAAATTATTTTAATTTACATTTGGAACTCAACGCTGCTTTTATGCGTTATGTTGAGTTTGAGGTCTGGCGCCCTATGAGACGGTAAACACATGCAGCCATTTTCGAAATTCTAACTAAAAGTAGAAACTGATTTTTTAATCGACGTCTTCTGTGGCGTTGCCGTCCTGACTGCTTAAAGTCCCTACTAGCTTTCTCGTAAAGTGAGCGAAAGAAAAATGAAAACGTTTACAGAAATCTTTCAAATGAAATATAAAAGTAGGGGAAAGGAAAACTCGAGACTTAACGAACTGAAAGCTTATTCAGGTACTGTTGATTTATCCTGCTTTGAGCTTTACCAAAAATGTCCTTCCTTGTGTGGTTGTTTGCAACTCTTTTGAATCAACTTGGTTTTGACGCCACCCAATCAAAAAGGCGTTCGCACATTCACAAACGTTTGACCGCTGTGTTGGAAACAACTGACGACGTAATGAGCTTCGAGTTGATCTTCGTTGCTAACGCTCCGTGAAAGGTCCAAAAATATAGCGACGCCATCATAGCTACTCATCTACAAAACTAAACGACTCGCCACTTGGTCTCCCTTGTTCCCAGTTAAAGACCTTTTCTTATCAGCTTCCTGCGATATTTTCTTTTGTTTCGATTGGCTGCGGTGATTTGGCTGGATTTCGGTTTAGCGTCTCTTAAGCGAAAAGCGCCCTTAGATTTCCTTTTTCTTCTCGTTTCTCTTTACCCATTTTCCAAGGAAAACAAAGAAACAAAGCTCATAATTTGCATGTTTAACAGAAAATTGGGGTATATAGCCCACTAAAAGCTGTACATATTGGAAATCATTTTAGTACATGTAGTAGATAATCCCGATGGGAGAGGGCGACCATCCTACTCACATTTATCTTGTATTTACATCTCAATTTTTTTCATAATATTTAAAGGCAAATTAGAAAGCAATTATCGAGAGATACTTCCCTGATGACCCTTTGCCAAAACATTCAAATTTCATCTCTCTTTCATTCGGTTAAAAATTAGAAGATTTTTTAAGGTTGATCATTTGTAAACAATTCTGACTGGCGATCTTTACCGTTCAATAAGATCTAATTTAATCTGATAAAACACGTAGGGATAATATTCCTGGTGCGCAAGGCTGAGTCCTGGGATCTCAAGACTCTGTAAAACAAGAAAAAAAAAATTTTATGAGTAGGTAAGCCTGCGAGCCGGCTCTCATTAATATTAGCGCCTCAGAACGATTTTAGACGAGTTGGTGAGATGTTTGTCGGGGGTCTGGTATCAAGAAAACCTCTTGCAGACTCTCACTGGCTTCAGTGCTTTACTCAAGGACTCAAGACTTTCTCTCGGGCTGTTCGAAAGCTATGAGTGGGTGGAAAACACGGTGTTTAAGTGCTACCGCGCTGAACTACGAAGCACAAGGTTCCGGTGGGAGCCATGAAGAGGTTGTTGCGCTGTATTCTTGGGCAGGACACTACTCTTTTCGTGCCTCTCTACCCAGGAGTGCAAATGGTATCAGCGAACTCTCAGGAAAATATAACCGACTACTTAACAATTATTCGCCGAAGGCGAAGTGAATGTTGTTGAATAATCCTCGAGATGAAGTCGAGTTCTCGAAGTATGTTGTAAGTTCTATAAATGCAGAAAGCATTGCGCATTTTTTGTTGCAATTGTGCTAACTACTCATATCAATAATCAAGCAGTTTTAAAAGGTTATTTAAATTCACTCAGCAAAAAATTCATACATTTCTTTTCTTGCAACGCCATACTCGTAGCGTCCTTTGTGCACTTCGCAATGATTGAGTTTTCTTCTATCGTGTTTATCACTTCCTCGGTCATCACGCGAGGCAGCCATTTTGAAATTTAGCGCTCCTGATATAATTACCGCACGCGAGGTGATTTTAGCGAGATATGACGTAATCCTTGACCTATCACATTGCGCGCGTCTCTCTAATCACCGGAATAATTATACTAATATGGGATAACCTGCAATGGAGAGAAGAGAAGAGGCAATACTCCAAACTGCCAAAATCTGGGTGTGGTTAAGATTGGGCCCAATTGAGAGAGCAACGATAAGGTACGATGAGACAAACACGTGATCGTACATACATTGGCGTCATACATGCTGGAACTGAATCCTTGGTTATCAAGATGCTGATAACAATTGTCTAACATGTCCTTTATCTTCTTGTAGGTCTTCTTTGATGGCTGTTAGGAAAAAAAAGAAAGAAAAGTCAAACTGAGATCAGGACTAATTGAATTAAGGGAAAAGTTTCAAGAGCAGGCTCAAAGAAAATACAAATCTGAGTCTGACTGTAGGTGGTAACCAAGTCTTGTTAAACCTTGGTGAATAGGTCAGTATTGAAAGTATTTCGGACCATGATAAGCACTAAAGAAAATGTCTAAACTAACATTGCAATTCGCCGTGGAAGATCCCTTTTTCGTTTACAAAAAGCTTGCGCATTTCAAAATAATACACGAAATTGTGGGTGTTTAAACAAACTTTACCTGTAGTAACATGGCCTGGAAGTTCACTGGCAAACCATATCTGTAAACCAGTAGAAGAAAATGGATTAAATAAGGGTTACTGTTCAAAGTGCATTTGACAATTTAAAAACATCGGTTCTCTAACTTGTGTTACAGGGGTCTCTAGAGAACTCCCACGACAGACACCTGAAGTGACCAATGAGTAATTTTTCC